CACGAATTTAGTCACGACACAGCCGGCTGACTCAGAGGGGCCGAGCAGGAGCCTCTTGTAAATTACATAATTACCTGCGAAACCTGCTGCCCATCGAGACAGCAGGGGACACGAAGCAGCCGGCTTGTGACTCATCCTGTGTTCTCCAGAGCTGGGGGAGAGCGAGGGCTCTTGCCCCCACCTGCCACTTTGCAACCACCAATTTGAAGATTTGGGGGTGGGGGGCGGAGGGGGCAGTGTACTTTCTTCAACTTTCCCTTAAAGTCTCCCAACAAGCCTCTGGACTGTCCCCCAGGGGAGGCCCAGAGAGATTGCTCCTGTCCCACAGTGGGAAGGGTCAGTCCAGCAGCTGGGCCTCCAAGCTGCTCATCACCCCATCTTCTGCCCCCTGCACCTTCCCAGCAGCCCTGGTGTATGGGCAAATGCCACCTCTGGAGGAGAACACACCAAACTTCGATTCTTGAAGAGGCTTGGAGTGTGGAAAGGACAACAGCTCTTTCTGCCTGAGCTGTTGTCAGTGGGGAGCCCTGAAAAAAAGCGGAGTCTGGTGGGATCAGGCCTCATTCACAGCCTGAGGGCCCGGGCTCCAGGCCTGGCTCGTTCCTGGCTGACTGGTGTCACAGACTCAGTTTCCTCATCCACAAAATGGGCATGCTCCCGTCCACCTGCCAGGCTGTGATGTGCATCTGGTTCCCTGTGCAGTGTCCTACACACCTGTAGCAGGGCATCACCTGCCCTGGGGGGGTGACCCCTTACTCTCTGCAATGTCCAGGGGCAGTGCCCTTCTGTTCCCAGCACCTGGTGGAGCCCCCAAATAGACCTAAAGAATGATAGAAGCATTTTTTCTTATTCTGAATGTTCTGCGGTGGGAAGGGGCTTCTATGGACTCAGGCCGGCTCTGGCCAGCTTCTTGCCTTTGGGGATTTCGGCCCAGGAGTCACGTCTCAGCTGATGACCCCCACTCCCCTATCTTGGCTTCCCAACAGGGAGCAGGTCCACCTGGGGGTGGCTGTTCATCATCCAGACCATCCTGGGGGGTTGCGGGTTCGTCTGGGAGGTGAGGGTATAGATGGGGCTGTCCCCAAGGCCCAAGCACCTGTCCACCCACATGTCAAGTCTCTCCCTCAACTGGGAAGCCCACCATTCACTTCCACCCTTACATCCCAAAGAGATCTGCTGAGAGCTGCCTTCTGAGAGATCCCTCTTGCTGGGCGGCACCCAGTGCCCTGTGTGCCCACTCTGGGACTGGAGAGTGCCCTGTCCAAAAGCTGGCTCCCTGTGAGTTTGGGGACATCTCATGCCTGTGCAGGGACTCCGTTTCCTCATCTGTAAAATGGGTGGGGGGAAGCAGGAGGGGAGTAGGTGGAGAGGGTCTCAGAGCTCAGTGTTAGGAGCCAGGAGCCAGGGCCAGAACTCAGGGCAGGTCTGGTTCTTGGAGGAAGTGAATGACATGAAGGCTCCAGGCCATCTCTTCCCTGCAGATGACAGCCCTGTCCGGACTCCCAGCTCTGCCTTCTCCCTCCAGGAGTCCCTGTCCGCCCTCTGGGGACATTGCTGGAGCCCAGGAAGATAGGGATCCGGCTGCAGGGGTGTGTGCTGCAGGGGTGCAGCACTGGGTCAGCCATATCTCTAGAAGGGAGGCTGGGGGCAGTGCTGGGAGGGCAGGGTGCTGGGCTCAGGGGCCTGCCCGCAGACCCCCCTTCCCCCCCCCCACTGGGGCCCAACCTTCTTTCTTCCTGGACTTCACAAAGAAGGGGAGTTGGAGTTTGTCTGTGGCCAGCAGGGGTGCAGAACAGCACAAAGCCCCCTCCCTGGCCCCCTGGGTGGCTCAGCAGAATGATCCGGAATGAGGTGGCGGATTGCTAATGGGCTTTGGGAAATGGGATGCCATTTGGTGGCTGTTTTTCAGGCCCAGAGCTATTGAATCAATGAAGTGCACACGCAGGGCCGGCGTCTCTGATGGACTGCCTGCTCCCTGTGGCAGTGAGGGGCTGCGGGCGGGCGGAGCTGCAGACGTGGGCAGGGTGAAGGATGGGGGCAGGGCTGCAGACACGGACAGGGCCAGGGGCTGGGGGCTGCAGATTCAGACAGGGTGAGGGGCAGAAAGGGGGTCGGGGGTGCAGACGTGGACAGGGTGAGGGGCAGCAAGAAGCAGTGAAGGACAGTGAGGGGCTGGGGGCTACAGAGAGAGACAGGGAAGGTGGTAGGTGCTTCGAAGCGGGCTTCAGAGAAAAGCTTGCGGGTGCTGCCGGGTGGGGGTGAGGGCCTTGGGGTGCTCAGAGGCGGGGAGGGGCATGTCCTGTAAAGGACAGGCTGGTCTGGAGGGGAGGGGAGGGAGGAGAAGGAGGTAGCCGGCTAGAACTGGGCACCGCATTCAGGCTGGAAGACTGTGACTGGAGACATTGACCCTGACCACATGAGGGCAGCCTCATGGAGACCCAGCTTGCTGGGCTGCGGCTGTAATTCTAGGCCTGTCCAGCAGGGGGAGGGCGCAGGAACCAGGGGAACAGAGGCCCAGGGCTGCTTCGAGGAGGGTAGGGAGGATGTCCGCCCTCCATCAGTCCCCACAGGGGCAGTGAGGGAGACAAGACCCACCAGCCATAGCCGCTGCTTCAGAGCACGCAGGGGTGCTGTGCTGGAGGTAGGTTGGGGGGCTTCAGGCTCACAGAACCCCGCTCAGTTCCAGCCTCAGTTTCTTAAAGCTGGGGGTGGAATAGGAAGCCCAGCACAGCTGTTGGGAGGACGGGAAAACTGGAACATTGGCACGGGGGTGGGGGGGTAGGGGGGGCTGTCAGCATGGCCCGCAGCAGCTGGGTGTCCACATCTGCCTGTGGTGGGGGTAGAGGCAGGAGAGACCAACTGCACCCCACCTTAGTGAAACAGGTGGTTTTGTGGAACAGGTGGGGTAACAGGTGACCCATGGACAGGGTCAGGAACAACCTGTGATTGAATCCGGACCTGGATTAAGTGATTTGGGGGAGGGTCCAGGGGCTGTTAACCACACAGTCAGCCGTTCAAAACCACCACGGCTGCTGACGATGAGGTTTCTCTTCCAGTAACGAGTGGCAGTCTCAGAAACCCATGGGGCAGGTCTGCCCTGTCCTATGGTCACTGTGAGTCGGCATCAACTCCATGTCAGTGAGTTTGGTTTGGGGTTGACCAGGAGCCCTGGTGGTGTAGTGGCTAGGTATTGGGCTGTGATCCATATGGTTGGCAGTTCAAACCCAGCAGCAGCTCCGAGGGAGAAAGACTGGGCTTTCTATGCTCATGAACAGCTACAATCTCGGACTGAGTCAGCATTGACGCGATGGCCGTGAGCTTCGGGAGGCTGCTCACCAAAAGGTCCATGGCTCCGATTGTGGGAGCAGGGTGGGAAAGCCCACAGGATAGCTCCATGCTGCCCACAGGCTAGCTCGGAAAGAAATGGGCCTGATGACTACAGAGAGGTGTTCTGTGGGGGGTGGATTTCAGGACTGTGGTGGGAATGGGCTTGGATGAAGTGATTGGGGGTGGGGAAGGTTGCAGGGTCTGCTCCAGGTTGAATGCTGTCAGGAAGTGGGGGTGGTTCTATGACTGGTGTAGAGGGGGGGTGTCTCCTCCTAAGTCACGTCTAAGGAGACAGACTGCGATAAGGGGTAAAAATAGCAGATGCTCATTTAAACCTCGGGGGGCTGGTCTCTGGAGGGCTTGTTCTTGCTGTGCTTAGAGTCAGGCAGCAGCTTGCTTCGGCTCACGCGATGCTGCCCTTGGAGGGGCCATGGCCCAGCCTGGGGCTCAGGGAGCCAGAGCTGCTCAGGCTTGCTGCCTCTCAGGTGGAGAGGGAGAGTGGAACGGAACATCTGACTGTCCTGAGCATCTTAGGAGCATGGCCTCAGAGGCTGCTCATCCTCACTCCCCCACTCTGACTCTCAGCCACCCCATAGGATGGCGTGGGACCGCTCCTTAGGGTTCCATTGCCCAGAGTCTAAATCTTTCTCCCATGGAGAGGATGGTGGGTTCGAACCACCAATCTTGTGGTGCTGCTGGTGGTACTGGTGGTAGTTAGGCGCTGTCCAGTCTGCTTCCACTCCTAGGGACCTAGCGCCCAGCAGAACGAGCCACCCGAGTCCTGCCCCATGCCTGAGCCCATGGTGGCAGCCACTGGGTCAGTCTGTCGTGGGGACTGTCTTCCTTTCCTTCGCTGCCCCTCCCCTTCCCCAAGCAGGATGGCCTTCTCCAGGGACTGGTCTCTCCTGACAACACGTCCAAAGGACGTGAGATGATGGCTCGCCTTCCGTGCCTCTAAGGAGCACGCTGGCTGTGCTTCTTCCAAGATGGGGCCATCTTGCAGTCGAAGCCCGTGTGTCAGAGACTTCTTCAGCTGCCCCAGTGGGTGGTGTGGATGCCTTCCTGCTGCTGCGCAAACAGACTCCCTCGTCCGGTCCTCACGTGACTGCCCACTGGTTTGTCTTCAAGTTCACCCTCTCTCCTGACCGAGGGGGTGGGCCCAGATCTGCCCTCGCCATTGCCAGGGGCTGCGCGTGGGCTGGGGGTGGGGCAGTGCAGATTCCAGGTGGCACGTCTTGGTCT